TATATATAATAGCAAACAAGCTGACGGCCCACCTGAAAGACTGGATGAGAGAGATATATATAAAACTATACAACTATACATAAATAACATAATAATAACTAAATAATCTATTTCAAAATTTTCATATTTATTATTTACTTACTAAATGTTACCTTAATAATAACTAATTATTACACAACAATTAGTTATTATTAATGATTATAACAATTATTACAACTCCAATTACGTGTATAACGTCAAATGTCAATTCACGTAATTGAGCTGTGTCGATGCAGTTTGGTTTCTTTTTTTATATTACCTACCCACATTGATTGTAATTTGTACTTTTTACTGGAGGGAGACTTTGTACAAAAATCGTTTACTTGGGCATCTCAGCCCCATTCGTGTTTCTACCGTGAAGCAGTTACGTTTGCATGGCTGTGTTTTGGTTTGGTTTAATATGGCAGTGAATTTACAGGGTACAGAAGAATAAAACCTGAGCCCTCAGGAATAGCAACGCATGGAAGGGTATCATGGGCGAAACAGTTATGTCCAAGGTACTGTTCATTTCTATAGGCGACGGATACCAGTTTCTAGCAGGTGAGCCGTCAGCTTGTTTGCTATTCTAAGTTGCACAAAGAAACCTTTTGAAATTTTCTCATGTAAATAAATTGTTTTTCTTGACAAATTAAATATCTTAAACCATAAACTAATGTAAATGAAAATTGTATAAATAAATATGCATTTTTATTATGCAACATTGACTGGTAAACAAACTGACGTGCCACGTTATCAAAAGTAGTAATGCCAAGGATACCCCTCTTGCATTGCCAATGAGGACTCAGGTGTTATACCTCCATACCCTGTAAATTCACTGCCATATACTACTTTTCACCCTACCCTTCAAACAGAAACACCCAACTAATAATTTTTATTTCAATACAATTATTATATATTAATATAACATTATTTAAATAGACATATTGATTGTTAGTAAATATGTTATAGTAATTAAAATAATTGTTTAACTTTACACTATGTCAACTAAGTCGAAGGCTCACTGTACTCGCAAAGCACTATATGTGGGAGTCTGGGTGCTGTTTAACCTGTTTTATTAATTTACATACATACTTGATAACAAACAACTTATAGTAATATAAATATTTAAATATCTTTTTAGCAATTTTATTCACTAGATATGAACTAAGATTTTGAAAACTCCATGTGTTATTTTTTTTATATCAACTTTAACTTAACCACAAACCACGAACCATAAACAAGACACTTTATTAGCGTGAAATCTTTGTTGGCGTTACATTTACATCCATGTATCTGTTAATTAGTTTGGACGGTTCATGTCTATAGACGGTTACTACTTTTCATTAGGTAGACAGTTACCTTATATGCGTATAAAAAAATGAAAATAAATAAAAATCTTCCATACCGTTTTAGTAATAGAGAATGTGATAAAGTAACTTGCTAAACCTCTAATTATGAAAGTAAACTCTTTTTGAGTGTTTATTAGTAAAACGTGATCAAGTGTAATGTTCAAGTACATATTTTTTTTCTAATTGTAACTAACTTTAATAACTTAATGGTCGAGGGATGGGCAGCAACGTCCCTCTTAAAACATCACCAAAAGTCAAATTATGCTTGCCAACCCGCTTTCCAAGCATGGCAACTACTGGAAAAATCCCCTGTAGACTGCTATAAGAAATGACCTCGTTCTTTATGACAGTCGATGGGGGAGGCCTATCCTATATAAACTTTCTAGACTCTTATATTAACTAACACGGCGCATCTAGCTATCAAGTTGTTACCCTGATAAAATACTCTCTTAAGACGCCAACAATTCCGATTTCTCCCTGTACACACACCTATTTTACATTTTTTATTTTTTAACAGTAACTCTAGAAATGGAAACATCTCGACGTTTTACGACAAACAGAACACAGTCTCTGACATCAACTTTTATAACCGTTCGAACAATTACATCTAATCATATTGTTCTTTACTACTTACACCCAATCTATTGGCCGCTAGTGGGAGAGGGACAAAAATAACGACTGTGCTACGCCCATCAATGTCTAATTGCTTTTATTATTTTAAGGCATCGTAATCATTATGGCCGCAATAAAAATTGTAATTACTTCTCATTAGTTCAATTAAGAATTTTCTAGACACGGTTTAGTTGATATGGTGATTGCAAAACGGTTTCGTCTACTGGTGCATTGTTGAGAAAGCGGCACTTTATTACTATTAGATTGTTAGGTACGTTATTAAATCCCTTAGCTGTCGGTGAAATTCTCTGGCCAATAATCAATAGATTTCATGAATATTAGATACGGCTCATATTAATAAATCATAATGATTATTTCGAAATTTGGAACTAATCGGTGTAATTTTTATTTTTAATAACAATATGCTCTGATCTAACCGCAAGTATTATTCTTAATCTATGATTTAGATGGTGAGATTTTGTGGCAGATATAAAGCTGTAAAAATGTTTTGTCTATGATCCAAGCGTCGAATGGTTAAAGCTTAGAAATAAAGGCTAAAAATAAACAAATACACAATAAGATTAACTACAACCATCACCTTGATAGCAGGTACTACGAGTACATAAAACATAATTTTGTTACAACGATATAGTAAGTGTTATTTTTTTTTTATGATACTAATAATGCAAATAAATACAATGCATTATCACATTATGAACTATGTCTAATGTAACTATTCATATTAGACATCTTTCTATGCATTAATTATGAGATGATTGGCAGTTTATCACTTACTGATGTTTAAATAGATTTTTAAGAGATACCTTAGTCCGTCTGTGTACATTTTAGTCTTAATATCTATATTAAAAATGAATGTACAAAAGTAAAACAATAAATAAATAAATAACTAAACAAGTTTAATACATAATCGGTTCAGGACATGGTCTACACCATGTCCCAGTTTAACAAGTACGTAGGGCATACTGACTATTTACCATTAGACGGGCTGTATTATTTGTCTCCTTCGCGGTATAAAAAAACATACTTTTATTTTAATTTACGGAGCAATACCACAGAATATCGCTAGTATCAAATATAGGGTACAGTAACTCGAAATCTGACACATAGTATTTATGAAACTAAAGAACTTTTGATTCTTTAAGTTTTTCTGTATATTAGTATCTTTATGCTTTATTTATCTTTAAAATATAATAATTCTTATAAGAAACAAACCTGATAGATTACGATAACGAATTTTGAGTCTTCTTTTTTAAATATCGTAGCTGTAAATATAGCCTTCCAAATTTAAATAACTACTAATTTAATACGAATATAAAAAAAAATATTATTATGAGTTAGAAATTAATGTATTTATATAAGGACCTACGTCTATGTATCCAAGCTACATTGCCTGAAAAGAAATAAAAAAAAACAAACGTCGAATACCTTATCGCGTGACACGAGAAAAACTTCGGCGAAAAGTTTCCACGCACGTGTTTGACACGTGGTCTTGGCTTAAAAATCGCGCAGGCCCCGCGCGTTCCTTGCTCACCGCCTCCCACCCGACGGCTGTCCCCCTGAGGAGTCCTTTCTAAACGGAACGTGGGCGGAAAGATGAGATGTCGGAACGCAGTTTGTTCAATTCGACAGCGTTTATTTTTACCCGATTGCGTTGACGGAAGTATTGTTCTTTGTTGTCTCTGATATTGTTTTCCAACTCAATCTCTAGGTTACATTATGCCATTTCTGACCTTTATAAACGATATGATACAATATAAGATTATATAGACAGAGTGTCTCCATACTAATGCTTCGCCAAAAACATGTCAACTTTTTTTTATCAATGTGTCTGGGAATAGTGTTGCCATATTGTACATTTGTTACTCAATATTCAGGAGAAATTATATTGTAAAGTTAATTTGAAAAATAATAACGATACAAAATTCTTATAAATATATTTAAAAGAAAAAGATAAACAGTGCATAATGATTTGTAATGATACTTTACTGATTATTTTGACTTATATCTGAGTATGGACTTAAAATATGTTTTCGTTTTTAAAATATTGAAAATAGTTGATTTTTAATTAATACATGTAGTATATTGATTTGTAAGAAATACGTATATATGCATATTTATATTAGAAGAAATAGTTCCCAATTAAAATTAAAAAAAAATCGAGCTCATTATTTTGATTATATATATATATATATAATTAAGTTGTGAGCCACCTACATTTTGACACGTTTCTGCTACTCAATATTTTATTTATATAATCTACTATATAATGTCATCATCATCATCATATCAGCCTTTTAATTGTCCACTACTGAACATAAGTCTCCCCCTTGGGGGGTATTGTCAGTTGCCATACTCGGCAGGCGGATTGGCAACCGTAGTCAGGTTTTAGAGATATTTTAAGAGGGACACTGCTGCCCATACCTCACCCTCCTTTCTCTTACGACCCCCACGGGATAGGAAGGGGTGGCCTATTTTATGCCGGGACAACACAGCTATACTATACTATTTACTTTTACTATAATTGTTATTTATTTTTTATCATAATATTACATTTGGAATCAACAGCTTATATCTAGAATAATGAAAAAATATTATATAATATTTACACCATACATTAGCCAATAACAGATTCCGAATTTGTATACCATAATAAAAAAATTGTATACCTAAATAAAATAAGCGTAATATTGTCATATTACGCTTATTTTTGGAGGGTAGGTTTAATTAAATAGACAAAAAATATTAAAATAAAATCTGTGGAGGTACTTATTTGAAACATCACGTCACTGGAAGTTCAGCAATGATTAGTATAAAAGTGTGTATTATTTGTGTGTGTAGTAACATTAATATCAAAATCAATTAGTCTTATTATTGCGTCTTAGTTCGATCAAAATACGAAAATCTACCAATAATATATTTAGAATAGAAATTATCTTTATCTAAACTTTTATACTAGCTCTTTTAGATTGAAATTCTAAAATAGTTTTCTTGTTTGCACAGTGACCGGCAGTTCACGGGACATCAGCAAGCTGTTTTACCCTTACCTGAAGACGTCTTCCCTTCACAGGGACCTCCTGTTTGCAAGTGGCTCTGGTGAGTACTTCTTCGTAATTTTGTATTTCAATTTACGATTTACTAGCAATTTATTCTAGCTTCGCACAGTTTTTTGAAGAATAAAATGCAGCTCATAATACTTGTTGACGATGTAACTTTCTATACGAGTAGGTAAAATAATTTTAAAATCAATTACTTTATTTTTTTTTTGGATTTACACAAAAAAAAAACTTTCCAATCTTTATTATAAGTTTATATAAGTAAATTGTTGTAAATAGTTATATCTCTCTTAATTTTCAATTCAGAAGCTGCTTCCGAAAGTAGTTATTTATGATAATGTTTGCTATTCTAAGTTTCATTAAAAAGCTTACCCATTACCTGATAGAAAACGGTAACCATTGCTGATTTGTAACGAGAGATATGCTCTTGAAAAAGGACTGTATATTTTACGAAATAATAAGACGGTCGCTGCTAGTGGTAGAGAAAAATATAATAACTGAATCATGTCAAGATATCAAAAACAAAATAAAAATATAAAATTTAAAAATATACTCTAAAAAGGTGCGTTCTGCACACTGATAGGTGACATAAATAGGTTCATGAATATAACAGAATACATAGCAATTTCCATTTTTACCACTTCATCATTATTGTCATCTCAGCTATTACCCATTACGTGTTTCCATTTCCGAGGAGTAAGTGGTATGTCACTATAACCTGTAATTTCACTGCCATATCCCAATCTTCGAATGGAAACACAGCCATGCAAGTACAGCTGCTTCACGGTAGAAACGTGAGTACGATAAACAAATGGTCCTCAATTATTTATATATGGGTTTTTTATATGTTATGTGATATATTCAATATTTTGGTGACATATACTGACATATTTTGGTTACATTACTGCAGACACTATTCTCTCACAAAATTGCTTTCACACATTTAACTGTACCTCAAGTTTTTAATTTTTACAACATTTTATGAAAAAAAAATATACCATTTATTTATTCGTTCAATAATTTTGTAATAATTTTTACAGGATAAACCCTTCTGAGTTAGTGTTGGTCCTATATGGTTGTATAATAATACATTTTGTCACGATTAAAGTCAATTTTCTCCCTGTATAATAATATATTAAATTATTCCATATTCCATTCGATTCGATAATTAGTGATGATATAGTATAGCTATAGTTAATTAAATAGTAATTAAGTAATTTAAAAAAATATGATACTTTAATATGAGCAAAATAAGTATGAGATCAAGTCGACAATCAACTCTTTTAATTAAAAATAGATTCTTTAAAATAGATGCACAATTGTTGAAGGTATTGACATACACACAAATTAAATTATGTCAATTTATATTAATAGGTAAATAAAATTTATTTTTTGTGTAATGCATATATACCACTATTGTTCTCAAACGCTTTCTATTTTTACCTAATGGTTAGCTGGTAAAGAAAGCTATACGACATTAAGCTCGCCATTTGTACAAATTTCATTGTGTAATAAAGAAAAAATAAATAAATACAGTCGAGTTTCCATAGAGCACGAAGAAGTCGAGTCGAGTATCTCCTTATTTGTGTTGTTTGTTATTTGTGTGTTGTAAGTAATATCTATCTATCAAATAAATTATCTATTTTTGAATCATTTAAAAATTAAACACGTGTTTGATAGGAAATTGCAAACATAATTTTGTCGGAAACAGCAAACTTTTAATATTGACCATGTAATAAATATTTTGTACAATTCTTTTTACATATTAACGTTTCAAAAACCCCCAACACACAAATACTTGAGATAATTATACCGTCAATGCATAAATTAAAAGTAACACATAATAACAGCTTTCGAGCTACGCATCTGTGAAATATTTTATCTTTTTTAATCTCCCGTTATATCGTAATACAACATTAAGGGCCCATAAAAACTATTAACATTGATGTTAGCTTGTTTGTATTCGAATAATTATAGTAGGTATTAGCATCGAGTGTAGGGATGTGTTTATTGAAAAAACTAATCGATTACCGTGATCGATAGTTAGTGTCGAGATTAAGTGAATGTCATAATTTTTACACATGTGATGGCTATTAAGGCGAATAGAATAGATTAATATAGAATAGAAATAATCTTTATTCAAACATACTTGTTTACGAGCTCTTTTAAATCGTAATTTATTTATGATTCCACTACTAGGTTCGGAATGCTGTTATCTGCTGAGAAGAAACCGTAAAGAACTCAACAGATAATCTTTTCAAATTATTATGTACAAGTTAATTTTACATGTGACTATAATTAGCACCTGGTTTCTATTTATATATATTATTCAATGGAAAATAAAGAAGTAAACATAAACAGACTAGAAATCACAATAAGCACCCGTCTACGAGTATAGTGGATGAACCAGCTATCATTGCCTTCGATCATATATATTTTAGGGAGCTCAACGATCCGGCTGCTTCAAGTTACCTGATTATATCATAAGTACAAATTACATCAATACACTACCTATATAAAAATGAAAATATCCAAAAAAATGGTTTACTTTTCAATTGATAGTTCCTGATATCTGAAACTCCTTTAGCTCTAATACCACTGCTGGGCATGAAGTTTTTCCTTTAAGATAGTAATATAATAATATAGTAAGTAAGTAATATAATAAGATAATAATATAGTATACTGCGACTATATCCACACTAGTGTACATGGGATATGTCGGGCTTTCTTTTAATCGATTCTTGTGATATCCTGAGAATGAAAAAGTTTATCTTTACTTCGTTTGATCCTTATATTATAATATAAGGATCAAACGAACATGCGACTCACCTAATCGTAAGTGATTACCGCAGCCAATGGGTGTCTGTTATGTCAATATTAAAGAAATTGCAGGTTGTGTACCTTTAAGGAAAAAATATGCTCTTTACTTGAAAGTTTCGATGTCTTTTTTATTTAGAAATACTACTGCCGGGAGTTAGTTTTATAGTTTGGGTGCTCGTGGAAGAAAGTGTCTTTAGGAACGCACGGTGGAGGATTGCCATGATGTATGAGATAAAAAACACAGAGACGCAACGTCTTTACGCAATGTTTGTAGATCGAGACATTTTATAATACTCTACAATAGACAATTTAATACTATACTAGTTAAACTCTATGTTTAATTTGGTGTCATGGTAACTTATTACTTATTTTAATAACCTTAGAATGTTGACTAACTTAAAACAGATGGAGGTATATGACCCTTTGAAAAGTACACACAGGACTATACTGTTTAAAAATATGATACGACATAATATCTGAATTCGCTTGTATTTTAAAGATTTTGTACCAAAATAATCAAAAGGTACCCTTAGGATGTAACATTTTTTGTATGTTAAGTAATATCCTTTGAAGATCCTTGTCGCAATCAATATATTTATAACAATATATTTTCTCTCATTTTGGCTTCAAGAAGATTTAGATTTTTGTTTCAGATCACAAATCTTGAATTGTACAATGCCTACATCTCAATATCATTTACAGTGCTTACAACTAGACGTGAATAATATGTAGGAATATTTATATATTTTTGTTAAAATATCTAGATTTTGGTCCAATAACAAATATGTTAAATATCTATTATCCAATATACAATATTAAAATAAAGAACCCAATCAAAATGAATATATCTATATTCATATCTTACTTGTAGGTGTGATATGGGTAATGGATAATGACCATTTTTCCGCCATTAATGTCGAAAGAAACCCAATATATAAATATCGGTACGGTACTGATACTACCTATGCCTGCTTACAACTGCTCTATACACTTACTTTTTTTAGTTATTACTGATATTCATTATACATGTCATACAATTCCACAAAACGGGTATTTTAACCATCCTCTGCTCCAGCAATCGGCTGTAAAGTAAGCACATAATGTTATACCGATCATTCGACGCTAGGCGCCCGTATTACATCGCAAACGGTCGCGATTAGATCGACTCCGAGAATCGCTCATAAATTCAACCCTAAAACAACCTACATGTTTAGTTTGGAAGCTTCCATGCCAGTAATTATACAATAATTCATACTTTAATAAATACTAATAAATCGTTCCACCACTCCGGTATTATCAGACATTATTACACGATGTAATTACAGCCAATAAATTACCAAATAATACATCAATCAGATGTGTTATAATTTTCTTTTTTTGTTTTTATTGGACAACGGGCAATTTTATTAAAATTAAAATGCGGCCCGCTGCCTCAAATTGGGGTAGCTTCGGGCTAAGCTTGGATTTAATTATATACGTAATGTTTAATGATATATTCTTATAATAAGCTACCTGATGCTCTCGCTGGGCATAAATCAAATATTTCATTAAAATTCGAGCCGCTTACAACCCTTCATTTGGTACGTTATTAGGTTCTTGGTATAGGATCGCGAAATCTCTGAGGTGATTTGAACTATATTTACAAAAAAAATGAGACCACGTGAAAATTGCGTATTTGCGACTTTGATGGATCGCGCTATTTTTGTTCCATTGTGATTATTGTAATTTGTGTTGTTTACTTGTTTTTAAATATTTTAAGGTTAATATTCTTGTCTTAAATTATTATGTTATTAACTTATTTACCTATAATCTTGATAGATCTACTTATAGCAACAGACACTGATGAATCTGTTGATATTAGTATATATTATATTATAAAATAATTAATTTTATGGTTTTTTATATTACTTCCCGTGATATCAGAAGTGATATCCTTCTTATAAAAATAAAGTTACTTAAGTTTATTTCGAAAAAATACTTGTAGTAACATATTTTCAAAATAATCAAATATAACAAAAATGTTTAAGAAAAATGTTCGCGACATTGTTATCTCTTTTGTATAGTTTATAGCGATATTTTATAGTCATTTTTATACACTGATTGTTATCTTTAAGTTATTAGTTTTAATCGTTTAAATTGTTATTTTTTATAGTTCTTTATATGATATATCTATAGCAAAATTAACCCAGCCATTTCAGTTTGCATATCATATACCATATC